AAGGGTCTGCAGCAGCACATGAGTTTCTACGGATTTCTGTGACGGATTCACGTGGAAGAGTCGGTTCAAGTAGACTTCGGATGCCAAGCAAGTAGCTTTCCCAGACGAGCTGTTACAGGAAAAACGATCAAAGGATATCAAAGGCGCATAAATGAACCCCCCCCTGTGCCATATCGGTATTGCGCTATCTACCCGAGAACATCTACACAATCACATTCGAGCTTGGACACTCGGCCTGTGTGGCTTGGTGTGGACAGGTGCCCCACGTCGGGCAAGGACCAATTGCCTATGCCAGAGAGAAACTATGGCCATGTGATGCAGAACACACGGACAAGGCCTTAGAATTTACACAGATGTTTGCCTGCAGGCAAAGATACCGGCTAATTGCTCCAAGATCAGTGCAGTTGTCTCACACCAATCCCCTCCTGAAATCAGCCAATTCCTCCAAAGACCTTCTGCAGAAACGTTGTCTGCTTTCTGAGATATCACGGAAATGTCTGCCAAGCGCTCTGAGAGAATCGCAAGCAGCCTTGTCCAAACACGTCGCGCGACGTTCGATGGGGGGGCTTTTTGGCCTCATCATATTTTGGGAAATGCAATGCTCGGCTCAGCTCACCATGTATCATGGGACATCACTGTCCTTCTTGAGTTGTTCTCATGGAAGCCCGCGCTCTCGCAATGTTCCGTCAAAAACGGCATGATAGACCCCTAAGGTCATGAGATGAAATGAGATCCCTTGAGGGGTGGTTCTATTATGTTCTATATAATATGTTCTATTGATTTGACTGGTTCGTCAGATTGTAGGCCTCACGGTGCCTCACGGCACGTCTGCAGATCTATTAAAAACACATCAAGCACACTTTGGAACACCGCCATGCGAAGTCAAGACTTGCATGGGGCTCACCCTATATTTTCTGACGTCCCTCTGCACACTAAACATTGAACATCTCCATACACTACACGTTGTTCCCTATTGAAGCCATGTGGCGCGAAAAAGGGCCAGGCGATCGCGGAAGGATCCGATGTCCATGGTTCAGTCAAAGCTTGTTGCAATGATACGAGGACCTACGGCGAGCAACAACAGGCCGGTGTTGTGCCACAACAAATGGTGAATCCTAGGAGAACAGGACAGTATGCCTTGGGTACAGCCTTGAGTCCTATTTCAAGAAGCTTCAACCATCGCCACCCTTGACTCTCTTAGCAAGGTGTCCCCGGCCTCTTTGGCAGCGAGCACTTCGCGGCTATCCTCGAAGCCATTGAAGGACATGGTTTGAAAAAGTTGCACAACCTCAGAGCCAGCAATACCCTTTCAATAAACGTTTGCCGCAACGAGCACCTACGTCTCACTCTGTGTAGTTCTGATCTTTGTGCCCAATTGCTTGAAGGCTCAAGTTTGACCAAACACATGTTTTGGTTTCACCAATTAAAAACCGTGTCAAACACAAACTAAACGCAGTATGAGCGGCCGCTCGCCATGGGAAAAGGTTGACACAAAGCAGCAACCCCAGTGACGCTGCCGCGAAGACACATTGACTTCGCTGCTCTTTGGCGCCAGTCGTCTCATGGTCAAAAATGATCTCAGCCCTCAGTCGAGGACCCATCAGGATAGATGAACATGACGTGTATATAATGATGTAATGGTCGAATGCCATACAGTAAAAAAATAAGACCGCGACAACAACAACAACAACAAGCACGCAGAGAGAATGCTTTTCCCGTTTGAGTCGAAGCACCACACAACAGCCTCTGCAAGCTTTCTATAACGATAATAGTTTTGTGAAGGGAAGCAACGCGCGTAGCCCTGCAAGCTTCGACGCCTCGAACTCAAAACGGTGACGTCAATGGAGATTAAGAAAAGAATGGAAGAGGACATCTACAAACCAAGAATTTGGCTTCTAGCATCTTCAGATGTGAGAATACTGTCTTCCCTAAAGTTGACAGTATCTATAATTTGCACATGTGGCCAAATCATGCCAAATCCCAATCCATGCTGAAGCGGCTATATGAAGATGAGGAGCGATCCTTGTTGCGATCAAGAAGCACATCGCTCAACGGTGGATTGCGGCCGTAGATCGATCTGCCATGAAGCATCGTCTTGTCGCAAAGGCCATCCGCCATGTGAAACGGACCAATTGGCACCGATGGGGACAACGATGGGGACAACTTGTTACTACTAGTAAGGCACTTGTTACTAGAAGCTATGCACTTGTTACTAGTAGCTTCTTGTTTCTAATAGCTTCGAATCCAAATCTGGTTGACATAATGCTTTCCCTTGCAAACCATCTCCAACGGGGCATCTGCAAGGCAGAAGTCGTCTGAGCGTCTAAATGCTGCATTGCCATAATATCAAACATCATCATTAATCATATCAATCAATATGAGCAAGTCAAAGGTTGTCTATCTTCAAGTGGCTCCGAACCCTCAGGAACTGCGGCGAACTCATGTGTCGTGTGATTTGTTTCCAGTCGTTTTATTGCATTTTCTGGCTGCCCAACAAGACTTGCATATCTCCATGACAACACACACACTTTCCACTCTACGGTTTCGACAGCCGTCTTGCACTCCTGGCCTGCTCCGTTCCAGGTCGGTTTGACTCTCTTGTGCGCCTGCCTCAAAAGCAGAGTCGCCATTTTCCTTGGTGGAAATATTACCAAACATGGCAGTCTCTTAGTCAATGGTACTTATGTGATGTTCTTGAAGCACCCCCCTTCTTTCCCCTGTGTTGCCTTCTATCGAGCCTTTGTTCCTGAGCTTCCACACGCGAGGCTTTCGCATGCGCTGTCGGGTTTGCTTGTGCGCAGCCAGGGCAGCATCTGCACGCTCCTGATCATGAAACGGTCAAGAAACGCGGGCTTCGCCGCCTCAACACATTCAACACATATTTAAAACACATATGTTTATTTAAATATAAACTCTACGACTCTTCCTAAACTGAAAGCTTCCTAACCAACGATTGACAATGTCATTAAGAATCAGATGTGCAACCAACTCTCGTCCTGTGCCGCTTGGTTGCTGCTTTGAATTCTGCTCAGACTCTCAGGGTCCCGCTCCTGAGAGGAATCAGCTGAATCACTCAAATCCAACAGGAAAAGCAAAACGCATCGAACGTTTTCATTAAACACAAACACATTCTGTCTTTGTACTGATGGGTACTGGTAGCTAGATCCAAAGCCCTTACTAAAGCTTCTTAAAACGGTCTTGTAAGGAGTGTACCTTCAGCTGCCTTCAGTTGTTCATGGCTGAGATCTCCACCTTTAAGCGAGAGTTGCCCAAATACGGAGTTGAGGAAGAGCGCCGCACCTGTGAGCTTCCAAAGACGGACACCAAAAACACACCAATATGCATCATCATTTTATAGCATAGTAACCGAGGGAAGGACAAACATGTTAGGAGTCATAACCTCTTCTTGTTGAGTAAGAAGCACGCTTTGTTGATTTTTGACCAAAAGAAGAAACCCTCACCTATCCTCACCTCTACAAACGCTGCATGATCTGCATGCTGCTTTCACGAACAGTGCCAGCACTCACGGTGCCCCGGCCCGGTGCCTGCGCTCGTTTGAAGCTTTCCCGGAGCTCGGCCAACTCTTCCGCCGCGCTGCTGAAGGTGGAGGATGCACCACTGCAGGCGGTGGCCGCTAGGATCTCGGTGTCACTCGTCAACTGCGGGGAGATGAACATTCTACATGCATCTTTAACAAACATCTTCATCTTCTTGCAAAAGCTTGGAAGCAACAACAGACACCAGCGGCATGAGTTAGATTTGCTTTGATGTGTCTTTTGTTTTAGCATCTTTCGGTTTTACGGCGATGGAACTGAAAGGTCTCCAAGGCGTGGCGGAAGCTACTAGGTGGAGGCCATCGCTACTAGTAACAAAGGGCATCGCTACCAGGAGCAAGGACGCTACCAGGGGCGCTCCTGGCCTTACTAGTAGCAAATTAGCAATTAGTAACAAGAAGCTACTAGTAGCTCCTGGCATTACTACTAGGAACAAGAAGCTACTAGGGTGGAGGACAACGCTACTAGTAACAAGAAGATCTTGCTTAGGCATCTCTGAGGCATCAGCGACGCTGCGTAAAGCCGTGCTTGCCGCCACACGGTTCATGGACTGTGCCAAGCGACGAATCAATCAAAACGAATCCACAAAAACCAAACTGCAAAGACCATATCAAACCATCAAACCTACCCAATACTTTGAGAATCACCTCATCAAACATGTTCGGTGCCTCCCCAGAGAGAACTGACATCTTGCACTCAAGTCCTGGCAATGAAGTTGATTTGGACGCGCTGTCCTTCCCACTGTGACACTGTCCTTCACATCGGCTTCAAGCGGCGAATCTAATTGAAGGAGTCATCGGCTTCGCTGCATGTTTTTTCTTCAACGTCTCTGACCTGTGGAACCACACCCACATATCTCAGCTCACTCTGCACTTAGGGGCGAATGTCGTAGGAGTTGACTTGAGCATGTTGTGAGCCTTGCAATTTCATGACACTTCCTGAGTGATGATACTTTGTTACTTCGTGCTTGAGTTCCACCTTGAACCGCTGCGCCAGTGCTGACAATGACTGGTTTGTGTGCAAAGTGTAGATCACAGTGGGTCGAGACTCCACCGATGGTCAAACAGTTCACGCCATGACACCACTATGTCTCTGTCCCTCTCTCTCTCTCTCTCTTCCTGCATGTTTGGGAATAGGGAACGGGGGACGTTCTAAGAAGAAAGACTCAAGCACTCCAAATGATTAGTGGAACTGTTGACCAGGATACGGCGCTAATGGGAGGCGGCCCCTGCACCATAAATGGGCCCGGCAAAACAGGTGAGTGGCTCAAAAAAAGGTTCAGCACCTGAATGCCGGAAGCTCGAAATTAGAGCAACCAGCCATTTATATAATTTGACTGCGAAACAACAGTTGCTGTATCAAGCCGGTGTTTGAGAAACATTCCAACTTGTCAATTCCAGCAGCAGGAGGTACTCCAAACTTCTGCAGCTACCAAGTGAATTTTCCTTAGACTGCCCGCAAGTTCACCTGCACTTGTACGGGTCTGTCGTATATCTGATAGTGGGGTAGATACTTCTTGAGCTTCTCCCAGGCTCGATGTTCAGGATGAGGACAACAGGTGTCTATGTTCACATCCTCCCTCATTCTGGCTTTCCGCTGATCCATGCTCATTCTCATGTCTGCGCGTCCGCGCAAGCCTTTCTTCAACAATTCTTTGTGGCTTTTGTACTCGTAATGAAAGATTATCGCTTTGCTCTGAAGCCCTTCCTTGTGGAACAAATTGACAGGCCCTTCCCGGACCTCCGCCCATACATGCATCCTCAATCCGGCGGCACCTTTTTGCACTCCGTTCGATCAGCATGATGGATTTGCTGTGTTCCGATGTCCTCCGTTCTCGAATTCGTCTTCACGTGCTGATTCACCTTGGACTCAGACAATTGAAATCTCTTTGTCATGGGCTTTGGCTCGTAGACTTTGTGACCTGCTGGTCCAAAAATCAGCCAGTTCGGAGACGGAGACCCATTATGAAGATACTCGGCCAGGTAGTCAATCAAATTTCGATTATCCCTCAAAATCAAGAACTCATCCACATCCAAAAAGGCTGCCCACTTGTAGTACACGCGGTTTACAAGGCAATCGGCATATGCTCCCCATTGAACACGGAACGCCTTCGTGTAATGGAAGGAGCTGACTTTGAGACGGCTCTTTGCCCATGTTCGGAGTTCCCAAGCCTGACTGTTGTCATAGACAAAGATGTGGCTGACACCCAGCCCTAAATGCCCATTCGTCGATGTGTGCCTCATGGCTCATAAAGCAACTGTGTCTGCATGGGACGGTTGGCAGCAAGGCTCCGAGGTGGGCAACATGAAGTCAAAACCTGAATAGTAGAGAACCTTCTTCTTCAGGAAAACCCAAGCACTTGCATCAATCTCCAAATGCGAGCTGGAGTTCTTCAGCTGTGCATTAAAGTGTGAAGACTTGCTATGAGGGACTCTCTGAACATTTCTCATGAAGTTGTTTGATGGATTTTCTCCAGTAACCGTTCTATTTGGCAAGAACTCCAGGTTTATCATAATTTTCAGGTTTTCTCCACCTTTGCCCTTCTGTCCAGTTCTCCAGTCGCACCAAATACTTGGTCCAGTTCATGTCAAAAAATTCCCTCACACGCGTGGTGACGGGAATTGGCTGATATGTGCGGTTCTTTGAGGCAAACAGACGTCCATGCAAAGGTACATACGTAAATTTCACGAAGCCTTGCCAAAATGTCAGCAATGTGAGTATCCAACTCTTGCGGGAACAATATAACTCATCCACATCCAACAACCTAGCCCAGCCATAACCCACTGTCCCTGCCATTTCGATACATTTTTCCAACTTAGCGCAAAAACCACGCCCATCAGTGGCATTCACAGCTGGGAATTGTGTGACGTTCACATTTCGCCTTCCAAAGGCCCAGTTATCCAGCTCAAGCTGGTTGTCCAAATCAAAAACAAAAAAATAATTGATTCCCACGCTTTGTGGAAGTTCCCCATTCTGCAATGTAAGCTTCAGCATCCAGTGCCAACACGCAAAGTGCTACGGGTGCCACACGTGCCTCAAACGCAGCAACCGGAAACGCGTTTTTCCTGGAATTTTGAGGTCCTTGAAAAACAGCAGCGCTGTAATAAGGAGCTTCGCCGGTGCTTGCAAGGCGCCCATGGCTCACTGTCATGCCACGACAGAGCCTGCACACACGCATGTCCTAGTCCGAGATTTTTTCCCAGCAGTGTGGACACACTACGGGCTAAGATGGGCCAAGTAAAAGCACGGTTGAACGTGTTTCATTGTCACGTCACATCAGGCGTTTTCTGGGTGATGTTGCAAAAAGACATCGGTGGGAAAAACAGAAACTTGAGGCGAAGGGGAGAGGGCCGAAAGCTGGCGGAAGCACACTGGCAGATTCTCTACCGCGCCGCGGTCATTGAGGTCAAATATCAATCTTTGCGTCCACTACTCACCGAGATTTCAATGAAGTGGGATCAAGTCAGTGTAGACATATAATGTGAAAGGAACATGCCGCGGCCTTCCGGCGGCATCGCTTCTTGATTGGCCCCAACAAAGGAATCAGTGGCCTGGAGGATCTCGAGGGTCTGGGCCCATGGCTCTCTCGCAGTCGTATCGTAGTCGTAGCGCTCCGAACTGGATACTCGGTTTTTGGCTTTTGATGCCTTTTGGCCTTCTCCTTGGTGGTCGAGGTCGATGGCGGTGTTGTCGTACGCGGTGCTGACGGGGCCGGCATGATTTCGCCTTTTTTTGTAGCGCTGGAAACGCGGGCTAGTAACTGAGATTTTTGAGGGCATCTGGTTGCGCGACAGTTGGCATTAGGAATGTATTTTTTGTTTTGGTGCTCGGACGTCAGCAGTTTCTCACATCTGTTTTCACAACAGTGGCACTGCCACCAGGTTGCTGCTCAGCCGTCAGCAGTGTATCCCTGAGTCTTCGCCATGGTGGTAGCAACAGAAGAAAGGACGAAAGTCGAGGCGGCAAGAGTGAGTAACGGCAGCAGCTCCAACTCTTGAGCAGGGCGGTGCATGAGATTCATGAAGACTACTTGATTCACAAGCTGGAAGCGAATGCTGAACTGCATACGGTTCATAGAGCGCCGTAGATGCGGGCGTCACCGGGTCCACCTCCATGAACTGGCCTCCGGGGAGTCAGGGATGTACCCGAAAACGCCGTAGGCGAAGCAAACTCGGCAGCCAACAGACGACACCTCCTCAGCGTCCGCTCCCGCAAGGGCATGAGCCGCACGACCACCGTGCTCCAACCCCAGTCTGGCGACTAACAAGGATGAGGGATGGAGAGAGATTGCAGGAAAGTGTTTGTTTCAAGGCACTCCTGTGCTAGCAATCTTAAGCCAAAATGGAAGGCATGTTGGCTAATGAAATGTATTGAAGAAACATTACCTGCTCTACACACGTTTCGAGCAAGTACAAAATCAATTGAACAACCTCTGGTTCCTCCAAACAGCAAAGTTTCAGGAACATACCAATACCTCCCAAATACCATAGTGGAGTTGGTGCAAGCGGCCCGTTGGAGGGGTTCCTGTCAGTTGAGTTTGGCTTGCCATGCGCCGTGTTTATGGTATTTTCATTCAGGGGTTCCAAATGGCCGACGGCATTTGTTCATGCCGTGTGTGAATCTTCGATCCATTGTGTGAAAGTCGTCCTCTGCTAACTCAAGGGTTGGCTTCAAAGAGGGATTGATGTTCAACCGAAAGGGAACTTCAAGAACTTGTTTAAAAAGAAACACAAAGTGAAGAGATAGCTGTGGATGTGGATGTAGATACAGACAATTTACGAAACATACTTTTCGTCTGTAGCCGTGTCTGCTATGCCTTGGTGATTCCTCGCCATTTGAGAGCCATTGGGCAGTGCTCTGATGGAGTGAGTCATTTGAGCCATGACGGAGGTGATGATTTGATGCAATCCAGCCACTCTGTGCGAGCATTTCACTCTGAAGGTGGATTGGCTATGGCTTGAATAGCTAGCAGTTCTACCTTCAGAGCTGAGAAGATGCAACACCTCATCTGCTAGGAGCAAGGACGCTACTAGGAGCAAAGGGCATCGCTACTAGGAGAAAGGACGCTACTAGAAGTAACAAGAACGCTACTAGTAGCAATGTAAAGCATGTTGTTACATGTAAACAAATCAATACTGATTCAAGTGGCAGCTGTGCACTCTTTCTCTCTGGCTAGTTCCGCTGAAGGGAAAACCTCACTCCTGGCAAGAGATCTTCGTCAGCGCAGGAGGTACCAAGGTGCAGTGACTACACTGCTTCAGCTGGGTCCACGACAGCTTTCTGGAGCCTCAAAAGACTCCAGAGAGAGTTTGCCAAACAAACAAACAAATCAAGAACAGCGTCACAAGGTTTATTTATGGACGCAATCTTCGGAAATGTACACGAAAGCAGCGTACTAGTAGTGTCTAGTCTAGACGCCTTCACTGTGTGTGGCTGCGTGGCTTATCGCCTTCACTTACTCTGCACGATTCGTTTGCACGTGGCTCAGCAACGACAAGAACTTTGCTGTTTAACAAAGCAAGGCGTATGGCTTGGCTCCCAAACCATACGTGCTGGCAAAGAATGTGGACCTTCATTTGCCACCTCAAGCATCACAGTTGGAGAATCCTAAAGAGAATTGAATCATTCAGTCCCTCAGAATGGCTGAGTGCACCATGCGCCTAACCTCGAGCTGCCGCTTCTGATGTGCCCGCTGTGTCCGCTCAAGACCTTAACGTCACCAAAAACACATGAACTTTGTCGCTGAATATGGGTTTTCATCTTCCAAACAGGTGGATCAGAACACTGGATCAAAAATTGGGAGGCGCCACGCTCTAGTTGCAGTGCCCCACATGCCAGCAGAATTGAGCAAGCCATGTCTATGTGTCAAACGAAGCATCCCAACTGGGTTTGGCACTACTCAAGGCTTGTGACAGCTTTGCAAGCGATTCATCATCGGAGTCAAAGCTGGAGGAACGCCTGAAGCAAGAAGCAAAGCAAATCGTGGGTGTTAAGTGCGCAAGGGAGTAACAGTATGCCATTAATTTGCATGCCGATTAGGACTGACAACGCTTGCGAGGCTTCAAGAGGTGGCAGGCCAAGCAGTATGAGTATAAAGAATCTGGCAGATCCAGAATCCCTTATCACTATTAAGTTGCACCGCCACATTGCCAGTCCAGGCATGCGATTCTAGCCAATTTGGCGCACGTCAAGACAAACAATCAGCAGGTCCCCTTGTCAAAATGTTGATCTTTGATGGCCTATGTCAAAAAAGTTGGGATTATATCATGGTGGTCTTCTGTTCGCCGTACACAATGACTGGTATCCCGACTTGCCTTCAACTTGGCTCTTTGGCTAGGTATTAGGATATTGCTTCTCCATGCATCAAAGACTTGCTCCGATGTGAAGCACTTCTGCACAAGTCATCAAGCCAGCCAGGCTTGAAGTGCATCGACGCGGCATCTCCATGCATAACATCCAAGTTTGTCATATAGTGAAACGATGTGAAACGGTTCTATTCATGTTCTGCAAACAGTCAAGGTATGTCAAAGTCATAGGGCTGCGGCGGTCGATCATCATGCACATCTTTGGCCCTACAGGTCTCAGCTTCTGAAATGCTTGAAGCGAACACATGTTGAGGTCATCACCCTGCTTGCCCGGATCGAAGTCGGATCCTGCCATGTTCTTTGGCCCCACTGGGCAAACCCTTGAGCTCAGTCTTCCAAAGCTCCACGGATGACTTTCCATCATCCCCAAATCAAGAAGTATGGATTCAATCATCTTCTAAGGCCAAGCAAGCATTGATTCCCTGCCTCTCCGCCATCTCCCGTTTCTCTGTAGCAGGATCCAAAGGGCCCGCCTCGTCGAGTACTTAGAACTGTACTGCAGCTGCTCCCTACTCTTATCCGCTTTTTTGTGTGACTTATCCAGCCGTGATCACAAAGGATCAAAAAGCTTCATCAAAAAGCTTGCTCACGGCAAGCTCATTCTGCCACGTGGCATTCACCACACGGGGGTGGACAGACGAAAGCGGTCCGGAGGCGCCAAGTTGCACCTACCGTCACGATCTCAGCAAGATTTAATTTTCTTTAGCTTCTTTAAGTCTTTTGGCCTTGTTTTGATTCTCTTTCTGTTGTTGCTTGTTCTCAACTTATCAGAATGCACAGGGCATTGGGACCGGTACGAGCCTTGGCCAGCCCACGAAGGAAACGAAGGGCCATTGAAGAGCAGAATGAAGAAACACACATCTCTTTTAAAGATGTGCTTAACATGTATATAAATAAAACATACATCTTTGGAAGGCAAGCCTTGCCTTCGTGGAGCCACCCATTACCACCTGATGAATCTGATGAAGCGATACAATGCTTCAAACATTGAGACATGTTTTAGTGCATTTTTGTGCTGCAGTTTTCTATGTCCGACGATTTTGCAGCGCTTCTTTGCCACCTTGGCGTTGTTCTTTGCAGCGCTGGCAGTGGAAGTGGCTGGAGTCCGCTTGAGGAAGTCCTGACAGGGCACCACTCCTCTGCACCACCTGTGCTTCTTGTTTCTAATAGCTTCTTGTTACTACTAGTAAGGCACCTGTTACTACTAGCGTGGCACTTGTTACTACTAGCTTCTTGTTCTGTGCAAAGTGCACATCTAGGGCTTCCAGGCATTAAAGTTCGCCGCCACGCGACCTTTTTGCTTAGGCCTTGTGAGATCTCACGAGAGTGACAAGTGAATGAAAGAAACAATGAAATGAATAAAACAAAGAGTTGTCTTTTTGGATGCAACATGCCACTAGTAGCTTCTTGTTTCCAGTAGCGAGGCCCTCCACCTGGTAGCTTCTAGCTACTAAGTAGCTTCTTGCTTAGGCCTCGTGAGATCTCACGAGACTGACAGAATTCTTCGCTCGAGACCTTCACGGATTGAGCTAACTTAGCCACTGGCAGGGCAGCCTGAGCCTGAAACAAAAAGTCACAACAGACACCAGAAACGTTTGGATTGAACAAAGCATGGCCTCCACAGGTGAAGAGGGTTCAGAAGGAGTAGCCTGAGAAACGAAAGTGCTTCCTTCCAGCTGATTGGCTGAAGCACCAGTTCAGTGTTTCGTTTCGGACCTGCTTCGTGTCATGTGATTGAAAGCATAGGCCTTCCCTTCAGGACTTGCCCTCCGTAGGTCTGCACCGACCTAAATGATGGCACACTCAAGCTCATTGTATTTTCTCAAATATCAAGAAAACCTTTGAACAAAACATACTGTAACAAAAAACTAAATGCGTGAGATCACGACGGCTGGTTACAAGCATTTAAAAGCTTCAATTTTGAGGTTTGCGCGGCTGCAGAACTGCTTGAGCACCAAAGCTGACGATCGCCGTTGGTCAAAACAGCTTTGACCTCAAAGCACCAGCTTCAACAGAGCCATCTTACCTCCAGCGGTCCTCCCGCGGTCCTCCGGTCCAGGCCTGGAGACGATACCGACCACCTACAGGTAACTCCAGAGACGCTGGAGACCTGGCAGTTCTAGGGAGTTCCACAAAGAATTTGGATTGGTCTGATCGAAAGGAATTCCAGAAAACGCTCGCAAATCCAGCTCTGGGAGCGCTTGGTGCCTTGAATGGTTGAGGGTTCTTATGTTCTCCACATCCTCCGAATCCTGACATGGAGGGTGAGATAGGGTGAGGCATCAAGAGTATCGCAAAAAACCTGGCCACACTGAGGCATGCACTTCTGCACACCATAGCACTTCGAAGCCTCTTTGTGCCTGTTGCGGTGTTATCCCAAGACAAAATCCTAAGCCCTGACGGCTCTAACGCCTCTGCTAGGTCTGCTGGTGCTGCCTCCCAGTCAAATAGCCTGTCCAGATCTCGGAGGACTGCGAAGCCGCAAGGACAGTGGAGCATGTCAGAGAGCACCACAGTGCGCCACACGTCCGCAAAACAGGACGGCAACTCCCAAAAGCTGTCGAAATGATGTACGTTGACAAAACAAAGGAAGGTATTGGTGGTATTGTTTGCGTTCATTTGACAAAACTCTCAACTTTAGGTTGCTGGCCATGAGAGCCGGACTGTGCCAGAGCCAAGGGATGTCACCTTGGCATTGAACACTGAACAAGCTGGAAATAACCCGTTTTTCAGCGTGCATAGAGGTCTTCATCGCTGTGTTAAGACATGTGCGACTTAATTTGTGAAGCTGTCAAAGCAACATGCATCCTCTACTGTACGTACAAGGCAACGCTGAGAGAGCAAACAAGCTGAGCATTTTGAGCGAATTTCTGGCATGTCCAGTTCTCCCTCATATTTGGACGCATGGTTCAAACGCATATTATTGAAAATTATGGGCCGTGTGGCAATAAGTTGTTGCTGTGTGCAGATACTGGTCTTGTTGTCCAGCGGCAAACCCTCTTTCCATGTTGTCTTGATACACTCGGAGGCATTTTGGCAGTGACCTGTGTGCTTCGCATCGGTTCTAGGTTGGAAGAGAATTTGTATGTCTTCAGTACAAGATATTCAGAATGTCAGAATCGATTTCATCGACAGGGGAGAAGAATTAGTTCTTGCTGTACTCTTTGTTACGAGCTCCTGAGTGTTTTAGAATGACCTGCTTCAACTGGCACGTTGCCAGGTTGCACACCACGTTGCTAGGGGCGATCGGAGACACAAAGCAGAGCTGATGCTTTTCTCCGTTGGTATGTTGATACATTCATTTTGCAATCAAACCTGGCACACTGCAAGTTGACCATCAACTCACCATGACTTCGAACGTTGTTCACGTCAGCAAAACAAGACCCGTTGACTTCACACCAGCACAAGTGGCCTGCGCAACCAGTCCGTAAGGCACAGAGCAAACCTCAGGTGCCTCAGCACAAAACCCTGTGTGACAGCATTTGAGGTCAAGTAAATAGAGAAAACAATTGCAAGAAGTGCAAGACCAAGTCGGGGTTGGGGCAAAGCTGATCCTAGTTCTGTATCTTCAGATACCTCCGTCAAATCAAAGTTGGTACCTCGTCAACATCATCTTCTTGGAGCGCCAGCAGCATGGCCTCCAAAACCAAAGCAGCAGCACTCGATCAAACTAGCTCTGATTCAGCTTTTTCTGGACTTGTTCTGATTCAGCTTTTTCCTAAACTTTGCAAGTCAGAAAGTTTAGGAAGTTTCGAAACAAGATCGTTGACCAGTTTCATTCCAACTCAGCACCTCCCGGCTCGGCGGCTGGGGTGGAGGTGTAGGAGGTTCATCCTGAAAGGCTCAGAAAGACCACAAAGTACAAATGACAATTGCGGCGACCACTTTCTTCAAAATGTGGAGAAAAGTCGAAACCACATTGATTTGAGATGATTTGAGTCAATTCTTGTTTCTCTGGGGTGCTTTGAAATGGACACTGCTTCTTTGACATGTGACCTCCGGTGCTGCAGCTCGTGGTGGTGCAACAGAAACCGGCGGTGCACGACCGGGCCTGAGGCTTGCGTTGACACATAGAGTCACTGTAGACTTTTCTTCCTTTTCTTGTTTCACCTACTGGCGATGGCCTCCAACCTAATAATAGCCTCCAACATATAAGACATCAACATAAGCAAAAGGACAAGAACTTGTCAAGAAATGCAAAGGACAAGAACTGCAGCACTTTCGGAATTGAGATTGATGCCTCTCCGGTGAGTCAGCCGTCTGTCAAGTGCACAAATAGCTTTCACAGCACAAAAGGGATTCATGTACAAAAGACTGTCCTATCTACAATTCGGCCTTGGCAATGTACAAGGAGAACTCTTCCTGCCAGTACGAACTAGAGAACTTCGGACCAAAGTGCCAGCAAAAGTGCCCTTGGGAGACCGAAACGAAATACAACTTGCTTGATTTTGTAGCCATGTGTTGGTAGTTGTGGCTGCGGTGTTGGTCAACAATGGCTTTTCAGGACGGTGCACCAAAAGACTCGTAGGGTCCGTTGAGTTGATTCTGACTAAGTCAGTTGCAGTTGTGTTCTGGAAGATGCTGGCACGGGACAGTGGTTGTAGGAATGGCTTCTTCATGCAAACATGGATCTTGGCATTGCTTGTTCCTGTCATCTGTGTGCCATAGCAAAATTGATCTGAAAGAGTGAGAGGGACACCAAACGAGTACAAACACGTACAAACAGTGTGAAAGGGTACTCCGGCAAAGAATGACTTGGAGACTTGCGGCCAGTGGCTAGGCTACATGAAAACACCCAGCTCAACTCTTGACCAAACAAGCAAATATGGGTTGAACCGTTGAATCCCACGACAAAGCACTCCTGGAATTTGGCCCGTCGAGCTTTCCGATCCCTGGGCATGGCAGTATGGCACTTGAAGCGACTCTTATGTTGTTTTCTGGGTGCCCATGCATTTGATCTGGCACTTCCTGGAAGGTGCAAGCTTCATACCAAGATGAGAGTGGTAATGCAAAAAAGAGAGAGAGAGAGCGAAAGCACAGACGAAGACAGTCGGCCGCACCTGCTTCTCATGAACTATACACCTCAAAGTTTCGATGAGGTTCACGTCTTGAAGCTGACATCATGTCTAGGCTGTGACCGCGGTCCTGTCTTGCTACATCTTGCTATGCAAGCATTTGATCACACAGTGCTCTGTGTTTCTTCTAGCCCTTGCGATTGCGCTGCTCTGTCACTCGATGCAATTGCCCTTACCACTGCAAGTACTCCAGGTTCTTCCTCATCATTTCGATTGGATGTATGTGAGTAGGTCAGGAGTGACATCAATGTGTGCTCCGGAGATTATCAAGGTCTTTCGCTAGTCCAAGGATTGGCAGCTTCTTGGTGTAACCCTGAGTGGGAAAATAGTCTTAGTGGTTCTCTTTCCATCCTTGTGCTGGCTGAAGCTCTAGGATCGAAGGTGGTCCGCTTGCGGAGTCTGCAAAGGTATGAAAAGGTCCAAGTCTGCTGTGTCTTGGTATGTCTTGCTATGTCAAGCATATGGATGCTGTGTCTTCGCTTTGGGCTGCAACTTGTGGTCTTGAAACTTGCATCCCCATATGCAGGCCGGTGGCGTGAAGCGATGTGAGGTCCGTCTTTGCAAGGAAAATGGTGTTTTCGCCCAGGGAAGGAATAGAAATGACTGCACTTCTGCAATTTGCAACAAGCTGAGCTTCCAGCTTCTCATCCTGCCGAAATATGGGAGGTTCAGAGCAAGACACTGGGTATATTTGAGATATGAGAGGACCTGTATTCTGGGCATTCAGGCCACTTGTGCGGTCATCCCATGTCGGCTCCGTTATTAGGCTCCATTCTTTGATGCCACAACTGCATTTTTAGCCCTACATTCCATTATGATGGCGTAACAGAACATCAACTTAAGTAGCAACCTCTATATCACAATGAGAAAGAAGCTGTTACAGTGCCCAGCTGCTCAAGTTCGTAAGAATATGTTCGCAAAGATCCATGGAATACGGAATACTAGCAACATTCCTAATTCACCGTCTATCCCGTCCCTCGTACGAGTACCAGGGTAGATGAAGGTCTACACTGCGGCGTTGCACACGTGTCACAGGTTCTAGCTGATGGACAGCATCCATACCAGCACAGCTTGGAATCTAGAAGACTAGTCACATGGCTGGCTAGCCGCAATCAAGTCTCATGGCTGTTTGTGTACAGGGTGCCAGTTTTTGACATGCCACTGCTTAATGGCAAGAGGTGAGTCCAAGCAAGGCCATTCTGGAAAGGATCAGGGTGGGCAGGGCGGTGGGCCTCTTGAGGAACTTCATCAGGAGCTCCCACGGCCCAATCCGCAAAGGAGAAGGAGGCAATGGCCGCGCTTGCCTTCCAAGCGGTCAAAAAGAATGGAAAGAAAAGGAGACATCTCTCAGAGTCCGGGTTTTTAATGTTTGTTTAATGTGTTTGTTTAATGTGCTTTCTATTGTTTTCTATGTTCCTAGCACCGCCTCTTGCAAGCGCCGTGAGAAGCTCTGAGGTGCTGGAGCCTCTCCTGGCACGGTGTAAAGTCGTCCCACTCATCTTCGGGCAAAAATTTAATTCTAATAGCTTTTTGTTACTACTAGTAAGGCACTTGTTACTAGTAGTAACAAGAAGCTATATAAGGGTGTTCAGTACAAATCCTTCACAAAGTTGTGTGCGCGGCGACCCTGGAATACGACGAATCTTAGACAAATATTTCATGGAAGTAAACGGAAGTACACTTTCCAAGCATGAAATGGCAACCGTGGCGTTCTTCCACAGCTTCTCCCGCACTTGCCTCGATCCATTCGCTTCGAGGCTGCACGTTGAGCCTCCGAAACAAGAATTTGTGCACCTACCAACTACATCCAACTACTAGCTTTTGTATGCTTTTGTCTTTTGCTTACGTTGATCGTTTTGAGTTGTCTAAGCTCCTGAAACGTAGTACATAGCTTGGCTGTCACGGTCTGTGCCGCGGTCGCACATCTGTTCTGGCTCCAGAAGAAAATGTGGGGGACTCTGGACTTGGCAAAGCTAGAAAGAGCCAAAAGACTGCCTCTTTAATGATGCACAAACGGACAATAATGCAGGAGAGCAAACACGAGACACAACATGATTCCAAGGAAGATTGCATAAAGTGACATATGTATATATGTCTTATATGGCAATGATTTTAATGTATCCGTTTTGGTTTACTTCTTTGCTTCGTTTCTTCGCCTGCTGGGCAAGCTGCTGAGCTGCCTCGAAGCCGCGCTCCATCTGCTGGGCAACTTGGTGCCCTGGCGGAAGCTGTGAAGCTGCACCAAAGAGGTCAAAATATGAAGCTTGAGAGCCAAAAGAGTACTGCACTCGTCTTCCAGCTTCCTACGTTGACTTTGGTTGTTGCATCTATCACTACTCCTGCCTGCAACGTTGCTGACAAGCCCTACGAGCGTGTCGAAGTGGCTATTCTCCTGCAGTGATCAGAGAAACACAAAACGAATGCCGCTTGAACCGCCTTCGGAAGGTCTTCACAGAGCAGGAAATGTCGCGTTTCCACCACACACGGGTCCTCAGCACTTTGCTCCTGAATGTCCTGAGTCTGTCGAATATCAATGCGGCATCTGAAAGGGGACTTACAGCAACATAAACATATGACATATCATCTAACATCATATCTGATATAAATCTTTTCCTTTGATGTCTCTGGACTGTGCCTGCCCATCGAAGTCAGGACGTCGCTGCAAAGGTCTGGCGGTTCAGACCCATTGGACCACCACTGGATGGGAATTTTAGGGGGATCAAGGCCTGCCCGGACCTCCAGGACTGTTCCTGAGTTTGAGAGAACTTCCAAAAACTGCTGTTTGCTGTGAGAATGTCAAGCAAAAACCAGAGGTGAAGCAGTGTCGAAGCTTGAGAAGAGAATGGTTTGTGAAACCTGATTCCTGGTTCTCAACCTTCTTTCTCCCTGTCGCTCTGAGCCGCCCTTGCTCAAAGAAGCCAAAGCCAGGCCCTGAGACATCTTGGCCATAACTCCATACATTAAAGTGTCTTTGCCACGCACCTGTTGGACTAGACCCTGGGCTGCAGCGCTGTGGCCTTGGAGAAGAGAGACCAGAAGAGAATGTGGGGTTCCAGTTCGAGTCAACAAAGCTCGCAGCCAAGCTTGCCAAAAGTGGCCGTCGGTTGATATGTTCAAGGCTAGGCCAGCTAGGCTTCCCGGACGAGACTTCTGCCGCACGCTTGGCCTAAAGTCTTCGATATTTGTTTCTCAAAAATGCGCAATCCAGCTACATCCCTGTGGCGTCAACTTTTAGTCTCAACGTTGGCTCTAAGTTGTCTTCATCTTGTCTCTATCGCTCCTCTTTTTCTCTTCGAGAGTTTCTCTGCAGGCGCTTACACAGACACACAGGCATGTCTCCTCCCCTCTGCTTCGACTCCAACTTGCGGAAACTGCATTTCATTGGACAAACCCGACATCACGGCACGGAAGCCACGAAGAATCGCATGACTCGCTGCAGAAAAGACCTTGTGATGACAGTTAGCTGCTTTGGAAATCGCTGCGTCAATTGCAGAAACTGTCCAAGTTTCTCGTCGCACAAAAGCTGTCCACATTCCTGTGCTCAGGTGTTTCACTGGCACAAAAGCTGTCCAGATTGCGTGCAGGTTCCTCACTTGCATCTTCATGAACATGGGAAGCTGTTTGAGTCATTTCCAACATGGAATTCTGTGGGCTCCGGGTCGGATGATCCAAAATCTCGCTACTGATCCGCTCGCTGAGCCTATCCGGAAGCTCGAGGCGACCCGACATGCCTCGCAGCAGCTGCACGACACTTGGTCTCAAGGACCGAGCTCGTCCCTCCTGCTGTGCTTGCCACCAGGCCTGCACATCGCCAACGACGTGCTCCAGGTGACTCAAGTGGCCATTCAACACCTGCAGTTGCCCTGGCCTCAGTTCACACTGGCTGGCATGGGATGTCTCCTAATATCTCTAAAGCATTGGCAGTTGTCAAACATCATCAGAATGTAGTGCAGAGAGGTGACAAAGAGGATGCGGCTGACACCAGTATCCAAACAGGCAAAAACTACCAAAACACGTCGACCTCGTCGACCTACGTCGTCAAGCTTTGCTACTAACTTAACTGGGGCGCTTTGTTGTGTAAACTGTGAGAGATGGTTATATATGTGGCAGGAGACCAAAAAGCAGATACCGAGAGCACGTACAGCACAGCGCATGAGAAGAAACGCTGAAGATCAGAGAGATGGAATGGACATGACGAAACAAGACCCTGAGCCATTCGGTCATTCGGTGAGTCACTGAGGCAAGAGTGTCTTGCGGTCATTTTGCAGAAATCGTCGAACGTCATGTGTTCATGGATAGCCTCCTTCCCTCTCGCTCTTTAAATCCAAGTAGCAGCTCGTCAGGTGGTAGAAGGGCCAAGCGGCAATGAAGCTCTTTGAAAAGCTGCAAACGTGGCAGTGTCCGAGAATCCCAAAGCTCTACCATACTACTCGCCATCTCCCAGTGAGCCACCATCTTCTTAGATTGAGTTTCAAATGCAAGACCTATTCCAACAAAAAAGTTTGGGAAATCGAATCAAACGAGGAAGGAAAGCACACAGAATAAAGATATGGATTCTCAAAGAATCAGCACACAAATCGGTGAAAGCACGGTGCTGCTCTTCTTGCCATTGTCCTTGCTGACGCCCAAGAGCACAGACCTGCTCATAGCGGCATAGAATGGTCAGAAGACAGACAGTGTACAGCGCCAGAGGTGCTATGTCCCAGGCAGCTTCCCATGCGTGCGAGGAGCTTCTGTCGGTGAGCAAAAACAGGGCGACCAGAATGAGGATCAGCAGTGAGCTGACCGCAAGAGCTATCACAAGTAGGCCATGACTGGAGTCAAGTACTTCCCAGTGACAAAAACCACAATAGATAGTCTCCTCATCAACAGAGCATAAGCAACGAGCTTTGCAGTAAAAGCCAGGACAGAAGGTACAACAAGGCTTCTTAAAATTTGGGAGCTCCAGTGATTGAAGGCCAACAACTTCTTGCTGCAAGCCCTCTGACATGGGGTCTGAGATCCATGTGAAGCTTTGTTCCAAAATGGCTCTGCTCTGCTTGAGAAGCTCTTCAATGTTCTGGCATTGGTTCAGAGAAGCCAACAAATCTTCCAGTAGCTTCTCTTGCTTGAAGGCTTCAGAATAAATCCTCAGCCACATCCCGATGAACTTTCGAAGTTCGGCCTGCAGTTCCACGTCGCTTCCATCCACCACTACAAGTCCTTGCAGTTGGTTCAGAAAGCGGATGAAATCCCGCCTTTCATTATCAAATGTCTGCTGGGCCAAAGTAGTATTGTTGCGCACAGCTGCTGAAAGGCTCTCCTTAAAGGTTTGTCAATCAGATACAAGAACCGAAACAAACACACACAACACATGTATAATTGTGGTGGAATGTATCAACGAGTTAAATACACAACTAACGCTTGAAAAACATAACCATTTTGTGGATCCAAAATTAGCAGCAGTTGACTAAACAGGCGGGGGTCATGCTTTTCTTTGATCGCCTTGCGATACGTTTCAGTTAGTCTTTCCATCTCTTCTTCACGTTCGCGCTGATACCGCTGCACCTTGCTGTTGTATGTGGCAACCAAATACATCAGCTGAATGGTGCACGGAAGCAAGAATAACGTGTCCAAAATCTCGACGACCTTGGATGTCAAGAAAGATTTAAGGGATTTTTCAGAGACATCATCAGCCACCACTCCTTTGGTTTGCCGAGATATCAAGGGGAAAAAGAATGGTTAGCCAAATGCACTGATCTATGAACCGAGCTGCGCAAAAGGTCCGAATGCCGAAGTGCCGATGGACAACACAACCATGTTCATAGGTGAAAATAACATCTCGCAGAGTCAAGGCAAGGCCAGCACACCAAGCCAGAACCAGGCATGCTCTAGTGAAGTCGCACTTGCGGAGCAAATTGATGAAATGATAAAAAGACATATCCACGGCAGTCACAATTCGCAGTCAAGCATAACTCCCGAATGGGGTCAGATTTTTGTCAAGCTGTTGAGCCAAGATTCCAATGTTTTCTTTACCTTTCAAGTCATTCTGCTGCACATTCATCTGTCAAAGAAGAAACAGCAATGAACGGCAAAAAGGACAAACTACTGTACAAGTACTTGCCAGATTGCCCGTTGGCCCGTTGGCTCAAGCAATCCAAGCAGAACCAGCACAAGTCGCTTCAAGGCTGCTACCAGTTGTGCCCACATCCCATCTGGCAACTCGGCCTCAGCCTCAAAGGGCGAGAGAACAAAGAGCATTCAGCCCGCTCCAACTTAAAAGCAGTTGAGGCGTCTACTTATGTAGTAGTTAAGTAAGGGCGACTGGTTCGCTACTAGGGGCTCCTGGCATCCCTACTAGGAGCAAGGACGCTACTAGGAGCAAAGGGCATCCTAGGAACAACTATGCAGCTACTAGTTCGCTCCTAGGAACAGGACGCAGGATAGCGAACACGCTTCTTCAAGAAGGCTCCCCCAGCCGCCCTAAAGGCGGCAACTGAAGAAGCGCTCCTTGAAGAAGCGCTCGCACTAAATGAACCGTCGCAAGCTCAATGTGGCGCTAGGCGCCCAACCACCGGATCACCAGACATGACTTCTCGGACCTGGCGCAGGATGTGATCGAAACGACATCGCCAGGTCCCAACTTCGCCAGAGCAGCCCATTGAGAGAGGGAGTCAGGGCCGTGGCCAGCTAGCTCAGGTTGCGGAAGCCTCCGTCAAGTCTCAGACTCTTGGCGTTTACAAACGCTCGCCAGTGTACAAATCAATGGTTGCAGTGGGATGAAAAGCCGTATTTGTGCCGGATTGATACGGCGTTGGCACAGGTTGATTTAGAAAGGGCCGTGTTTGCCTGTCGTGGAGCTCATATGCCCAGGAGAGTTGCACCTGCGTCGGAACATGTTTTTCTTGGATGGCCATCGCCATTAGAAACAAAGAAAAACAGAAAAGGAAGAAAGGTCTACTATAGTAGCAACAAGAAGCTACTTGTAGCTCCTGGCATTGCTACTTGTAGCAAGGTGCCTTGCTGATATAGTTTGCTATTAGGTTGGAGGCCGCCATCGCTTCTTGGATGTCACTGCTTCATCTGAATCGGGGGGCCCTGGGCCCCGCACAGTGGCTTCGCTGAAAGGCCCTCCATCATCCTGCATGTCCTCAAAAGCACGACTAAGGAGAGCTCAAGAAAGCATCCAGCAACAATGCTGTCGTTCCGCTTGCCAAGCTTTTTGGGTTGGCATGAGGCTCGTTTAGAGACATCACTCAAACTGAGTGATTGAAGGAAATGAGAACAAGATCATGCAGTGTCGGACAAGGAGAACCCTTGCCGGTTCTGGCTTCCCTTAACTGCACTACCCTCGCAAGAATGAAAAAGCAACGACTCCAGAGACCCACGGAGTGTTTCCCATCTATGGGACTGCTACTCCCGTGCTAAAGCGACATTCTCACCTGGAGTTTTCAATCAGTGAATCTAATGAAAGTGGCAAACCAAGACTTCCTGTAGGTTTACAGGAAGCCAGCATCATGAGCAGAAGCAAGTACAAAGCCGAAACAAGGTATGATTTTTTTTTCAATTAGCAAAACCCATCACCGGCACCACCACAATCTCGATCGCCGATCCTTTTGATTCTCCACGATGACCTCTTTTTTACCTTTCGGCTTCAGCACGGCAACATCGCCATCGGTCGAATTCCAGAGACGAAAGCAGAAACAGGGCCAATCCATCTCTATCACAAACAAGAAGCTACTAGGGGCTCCTGGCATCGCTACTAGGAGCAAGGACGCTGATAGGGGCTCCTGGCCGTGCTACTAACAAGAAGCTACTAGGGGCTCCTGGCATCGCTACTAGGAGCAAGGACGCTGCTAGGGGCTCCTGGCCGTGCTACTAACAAGAAGCTACAAGGGGCTCCTGGCATCGCTACTAGGAGCAAGGACGCTGCTAGGGGCTCCTGGCCATACTACTAGTAACAAGAAGCTACTAGGGGCTCCTGGCATCGCTACTA